TTAGATTTATTCTATTGTCTTTCCTATTCTTATCTCTTTCCCTTCCCTTCATTGCCCTTTGTTTAATCTACCAAACTTCTAGTCTTGTCCTCCCTGCCTTTATTATGGTTTARCTTCCACATATCAGCAAAAACATTCAACCTTTGGTGTTTGGGGATTGGCTTATTTCATTTAGCATTATAGTCTTCAGACCTATCCATTTACTGGCAAATGTCATAAAGTCATTATTCTTTATGGCTGAGTAATATTCCATTGCTATAGTTATAGTATACATACTACAAATTCTTTATCCATTCATCTGTTGATGGGCATCAGGATGGTTCCATAGCTTAGCTTTTATAAATTGTGCTGCTATAAACATTGATGTGGCTGCATCACTGTAGTATGTTGATTTTAAATCCTTTGGATATATGCCATGGAGTGGGATAACTAGTGGGTCAAATAGTCACTTGACCCACATTTATTTTTTTGAGGAATCTCCATACTGTTTTCCAGAGGGGTTGCACYAATTTGCAGTCCACCAACAATATATGAGTGTTCCCTTTCCCCTCACATCTCACCAACATTTGTTGTTACTTGTAATCTTAATAATTGCCATTCTGAGTATGGTGGGATGGAATCTTAGTGTAGTTTTAATTTTCATTTCTCTAATTACTAGAGATGTTGAACATTTTTTTCATATATTTATTGACCATTTGTATTTCTTGTTTTAAGAAGGGTCTCTTCAGTTCCTTTGCTCATTTAGTGATTGGGTTATTTATTTTTTTGGTGTTAAGCTTTTTGAGTTCTTTGTATATCCTGGAAATTAACGTCTTATTTGAGGTACAGGTGGCAAAGATTTTCTCCCATTCTGTAGATTCTCTTTTCACACCTGTTTGCCCTGCTGTGAAGAAGCCTTTTAGTTTGATACCTTCCCATTTATTGATTTTTTATTTTACTTCTTATGCTTTAGGAGTTTTGTTAAGGAAGTCAGTTCCTGAGTCAATGTGTTGAGGTGTTCAGCCTATATTTTCTTCTAGTATGTACAGGGTTTCTGGTCTAATTCCTAGGTCTTTGATCCAGTTTTAGTTGAAGTTCTGGTATTATGATGCCTCCTGCTTCATTTTTCTAAGGATTGCTTTACCTTTTCTGGACCTCTTGTTTCTCCAAATGAATTTTGTGACAGTTTTTTGTATTTCTATGAAKAATGTCATTGGAATTTTGATGGAAATTGCATTTGATGGGAATCTGGTAGTACTGTCATTCTGACAGTATTGAATTTGCCTATCCAAGAACACAGAGGTCTTTCCATCTTCTAAGGTCTTCCTCAATTTCTTTCTTAATGGTTCTGTAGTTTTCATTGTAAAGATCCTTTACAAAAGCCCTTTGTGATTTTTTTGAACTTTAATTTAAAATTTTGTCTTCAACTTCAATTTTCTGAACCTTTGTCATACTTAACCATGATTATGCTATTAACTCATTAAATAGGTTCAATTCTGAGTTTTATCTAGCAAATGTCAGTTTTTCTAGATATAATAAGAGCTGTTTAAGTGTATGTGGAGAAGTACTTTAAATATATTTAATTTCAGTGAATGAATACCTGTATCTCTCCACACACACACACTCCAAGTAGCTCACTTAATTTTAATTGTCTTAGTTCAGAATTAGGTATTTTATAAATCCTGTTAGTACACAAGCAGCTAAAATARTGCATCATTATTGCAGTTAGCAACATGTGATGTCTTAATTTCTTCTTAATAAAGAYACATGAGTCAAACTTGCTCTCACCACTTATACATCTGGTTTTGAAAATGTGAATTATATACAGGAACAGGGCACTGTCCCCGGCAAATTCCATTTGGCTTCTGTAACAGGGTTTCAAGGTATTGAGGGAACCATAATTTTGCCCTGTCTTCCTCAGCAAGCTTGATACCTATATACAAGGAACTCTGTCTCTAAGAATTTAAGTCTTTTTACAGATTGTTTTGTCTTTCATTGTAAAGGAGTATATACTTAGGACCTAAGCTTTTTGAGAAGTTTGTATTCTTTTACTGAAATCAAATGGTATATTTAAAGTACCTCTCCACATACACATATAATTAAATGGACTTAATCCTGAGATGCCTGTTACCTTTTAAAACAAAATGTGCAGATTGGTATGAATAATAAGAATATTAACTGATTTCTTTTTTTTTTTTTAAAGAATTTTTTAATATTTATTTTTTAGTTTTCGGCGGACACAACATCTTTGTTTTTGTACGTGGTGCTGAGGATCGAACCTGTGCCGCAYGCATGCCAGGCGAGCGCACTACCGCTTGAGCCACATCCCCAGCCCTTAAATGATTTCTTTATTTTGTCCTAATATTTCAATCATAATTCTTCTCATGTTAGAAACATAAGTTTTATATATTTTAATGTTTTGTGGTTAATATATATACATATATATGTAATTTTTWAAAAAATGTTCAAACTCTTTCTCCCCCAGGGGATCTGAAACTTGTGGAAAAGCCATCTCCTTTGACTCTTGCTCCTCATGATTTTGCAAATATTAAAGCTAATGTCAAGGTAGCATCAACAGAAAATGGAATAATTTTTGGCAATATAGGTAAGAAACTGTTTTATGGCATGTGATGTTTGAATATTTTTATTAAAGAATTTCTGTAGGGAATAGCTGTGTACATGGCTTGAAGTTAGGACTTGACTCTATTTATGTATCACTTATGAGGTACTTTCCTCTTGTATGTATTGTATTCTAGATGTGCAGAAATGAACTGGATAGTGTCACTTTCCTCAAGAAACCACCAGACAAATGAACAAGATAGATAGAAAAACATATAACTGGGATAATAGTATGATAAGCCTTAGTTGATATACTAAATGCTTTAGGTTCATATAGGAAAAAATTGCAAACAATGGAGAAAGCTTTATAAAGAAAGAGGGTGTTTTTTCAAAGGATAACATTTGAATTGAGTCTGAAACTTCATATAAGCACTTATAACCAAGCACATAGGTATTTCAAACCTAGTGGTTAGTTTGTACAGGAGCATTCATTTAGGAAGCATATTTTTTTTAAAACAATTTTAAAAGATCAGTGTTCTACAGATAGATAAGGAGCCAGCTAGAACAGATGCAAGTAACTTGATACACCTAGAGTTTAGTAACCATCTCCTTAACACCTGTTATTTTCGGTCCTTCTTTCCCTTTCAGCCATTTAACTCCCTTGGCTTAAGCCTTCTATCATTTCTCACCGAGGTTTCTGCAAAGCCATGCAGGAAAACAGTAATATTAAAAGTTTGGTCAGAGGAGGAGGAGGAGCCTATAAAGGATTCTCAAGTGTGGTTAGAAAAGTAAAGAAAAATCTTTCAGAAATATCTAAACCATAAGAGATTAAGTAACATGAAGTCAGAAAAGAGGGGTCCTTTGGATTTATCCATCTGTGACCTTTTTTTTTTTTTTAGTATTTATTTTTTAGTTGTAGGTGGACACAATATCTTTATTTCATTTTTATGTGGTGCTGAGGTTTGAACCCAGTGCCTCAGAGTGTAGGCCCTTGGCTTTGATAGGATTAAAAGAGAGCAATAACCAGAAAAGAATGCAAGGATGGAGTAGGTTTTTTKTTTTTTTTTAAATAATGAAAAGAGATCCTTGGATATATGAATATATGTATATAATGTAGGGGAAAATGTTGATAGAGAATGGGAAGGTAAAGACCAAGCCTGAAAGAGATAACAATTAAATGAGTAAAGTCCTGAACCAAAACAACGATCATAAATGATAGGTAGACTAATCTTGAAGAGGCAGCACTTCTGATATGAAAAGGAAGGATGTGAAAGTGTATTCCTTGAGAGGGAGATTTAGTTTTAGGAGGTTTTTCTTGGTACCTTTACTTTTTTCTGAATATAGAAAAAGTGGGGGAATGTTGACAGAAGAGTTCAAAAGAGAAAAGGTAGATTCCAATTAGATTATAACTTTCTACTATGGAAGAGGCAGTCATAGAAGCAAATAATCTTGTTTTAAATGCTATGGTTCAACAGTTTTCATTCAAAAATTTTAATTGGGACCTACTGTAGGTACTCTGTCCTACTCATGTATCCACTGTAGTGCCTTTTACATCTGCACAGTTAATTGAATTTTTTTTTAGTAGCAACCCCAAAAAAGCATGCYTGAATCCTGGCCTCACCACTGATCAGTTGGATGACCTTGAGCAACATATTTCTTCTGTGTTTTTATTTACTCATCTGTAGGATTGAAAACAATACTGTCAGGATTGTTTGTTAAACAGATAGTGTTTGTAAAGCACTTAGAATAGAGCCCAATATATGGTATTATATATATATATATATGTGTGTGTGATTATGGTTCTTTTTATATATGTATATTACAGTTTATGATGTCTCTGGAGCAGCAAGTGACAGAAATTGTGTGGTCCTCAGTGATATCCACATTGACATCATGGACTATATCCAGCCTGCAACTTGCACTGATGCTGAATTCCGTCAGATGTGGGCCGAATTTGAATGGGAAAACAAAGTTAGTCTTTGGGAGATCTTTTGCCTCTTAATCTTTCTTTTGAGTAGTGCTAAAAGATTCTCTGATTAAATTAATTCCACTTAAAAAATGTCAAACATGAAAAACAAATAGTTCTTTATTAGCTGTTCTTATAAATTAGCTTTAATTAGAAATCATGTATGTAGTTTAGTATTTGCTGTTATAAATTGATTAATAATTCTATAATTAATAATAAATCTCATTGATTAAAACATTAAATATTCCATCCCTTCCATGTATGAATGATAAATTGAATCTRTTATCCAAAGGGGCTTGCAAAAAGTCTGTTGCCTGTAAGGAACTTTGCTTCTTTGAGCCTTGATACTTTTTTTAAAGTTTTTTTGGTAGGTTTTTGTTTTTGTTCAAGTGGTTATTAAACCAGGATACTTTACCACTGGGCTGCATCACCAGTTCTTTCTTTTTTCTTTTGAGGCAGGGTCTTGTGCATTTACTAAGGGTCTCACCAACTGCTGAGGCTGGATTCAAACTTGCATGCCTCCTGCCTCAGCCTCTCAAGTCACTGGGATTGCAGGAGTGCCACCATAACCAGCTCAGCCTCAATTTTTTTTTAATTAGAACTARTCTATATACCTCATTGATCTTCTGTGAAGTTATCTATATCTAAAAGTACTAATACCAACCTGCAAGTTGTTAGATTTTGTAGATGTCATTTACTTTTTTGTTGTACCCTCTTCTCCTAAAGAGTTGAAGGAGGTTCTAAAAATACCAGTGATTCACAACTTTCTTATTATAGGATTTTGATCTCCTTAACTTTTTTCTCCTCTGTAGGTGACAGTTAACACCAATATGATTGATTTAAATGACTACCTACAACACATATTAAAGTCAACCAACATGAAGTGCCTCACTCCAGAGAAGGTAAAATTTGATTAGGAAACTTCAAAATTTGACAGAGTAGTAACAGTGAATTCCTGGTTATCTTATATTTCCTTTAATGTGTTTTTGTTATAATTCAGTTTGGTAAAAATAGTGTTGTYCTGGAGTATCTGAAACAAGTTACCTATATAATGTTTGAATCCACTTACCTGTTTCTTTTTAAATATATCATCCTACTTGTTCCTGGTGCAGTTACCCAACTGAATAGTCAGAATAGTCAAATTATTTTTTTCAGTTTTCTTCCCTTTTCAGATAGAGGCTTATTCCAAAATAATTTATTTGTATTACTGGATTAGAAAGTATCCATGACTTCCCCAGTGGACTCTGACTATAGGTCAGAATATATCTGCTTAAATTCAGGGTTCTTTTATTCCCCCCCCCCACAAGTTCAGAATTCTTATTATACTATGACTCTCTGTTCTATTTGTGAGTATATGAAAAAAGACTAGAAAAGAAAGGCAGAAATGGAGCCAGCACTCTAAGGAATTTTTTTTCTGTATAAAATTTGTGTTAATGTTACAATATTTATTTTATCAATAAAAGAATGTCTGCTGTCAAACTCTAAACTCAGTTTAGAGTGCTTACATAGCATGCAAAAAGCCCTGGGTTCCATCCCCAATACTGCAAAGACAGTAAAGAATGTCTGCTCCCAAGCAGGTAGGTTTTAATTCATGTAACAGTTATTTCAACACATACTGAGTCCAATAATATTCTCTTCCTTCATGGAGCTTAAGGTCCTGTGAAGGAAGCAAATGAATAAGGCAGAGATACATAAATACATATTGKAATGAGTACTATTTCTTTAAGTCAGGTTTGTTGACTAATAATGCACAGACAGTAAAATTCACACTTTTCATATGTATAGTTGTATGAATTTTGGCAAACGCATGGTCCTGTAACCACTACCACATAAGTACTACTTTAAATAATTCACTTATGTTGTCTGGTTTTGCCAGTATGTAGTTCTYTAGTAAACTACTGAATTTATCACAAATCTCCCCCAGGCCCTTTCTGGTTACTGTGGCTTCATGGCAGCCAATCTTTATGCTCGTTCCATATTTGGAGAAGATGCACTTGCAAATGTCAGCATTGAGAAGCCAATTCACCAGGGACCAGATGCTGCTGTTACTGGCCACATAAGAATTCGTGCAAAGAGTCAGGTAACAATTCCTTTTTATGAGAGCATCTCTGAACTAAATGGGAGGAAGAATTTGTTTTATTATTTCTCTAGATAATATCTTCTGTTATACTCATGTTTTATGCCTATTCACACATATATAAGGATAGTATTTGATGAATAGAAATGTAACTTTTGCTTCATTTAAAAGGCCCACCTTTTAGGTCTATCAYTTTTGGATATTTGCTTAAAACAACTGATTTCTGTGGTGTATTTGTGAAATGGATTCTAGAGAGGATTTTGTTTGTTTTGAAAGTCAAGGTATAAATGTAGTGACTTGTAGATCTAGAACTGTAATATACTCAACACAGTAAAATTTTGGTGAGTCTGTTTTTATACYTTTGGTTTTATTTTTGATGTGGTATCATCAAATGGAGGCTTAATTCAGCTGGAATAACCTGCTGGTTGTACAGTTTCAATAATAATAAACATCTTTATTCTTCTTTTCAGGGGATGGCCTTATCTCTTGGAGATAAAATCAACTTGTCTCAGAAGAAAACTAGTATATAAGAATAATCAAAAAGTCCTGGAAGCTTTAYAGTTTAAAATTTAGTTATGGGCTTATTGGACTTCAATATCTTTTGTACTCTTTCATGCTTTATGTTATGTAGAATCTGAGTTCATGCTGAATGCATTCCAGCCAATAATTTATAGCCTTCCCTTAAATCAAGATTGAGTTTAAAATTATGGTTTGTCTTTTGTCTTAACAGTTGAATGCTGTCCTCAAAGTATGTGTTTCTCACATGTACCAAGACCATTTTCATAGTACAATAAACAGATTTATTCATAAATTTTTTTGTTATTTTATAAATAAATAATTACATAATTTCAGTTATGTAGCAATGAATTTTTTTTAGTTGGGTTATAGATTTTCATTATAAATTAAAATTACTCTTTGAACTGTTGGTATATGCAACTTTACAAACACAGTGATATAAAATGAAACAAGCCTTTGGCTTACTTGATTCTTTTTTATTTATTTAGTATTCCAACATTGACATCTCTAAAATGCCTTATCATGTTCTAAAGGTCTTTTCTCAAACTTAGCGCCAGGGAGAGAGTATCAAAATAACTTGAGAAAAAAGATCCATCTTCAGTTTAAAGGAGTTATTATAGATCCTGAATGAAACAGACATACTGTTCTTAATTATTCTAAATTATAATGAAAAGTAGATAATCAAAAATGGATTGTTTAATCAGTTACATTTAACTTTGGGTATTCTATATTAGGAATTAAATTGGTTCTAGTCATTGACTGAAGTTTTACTAGGAAGATTAACTCTACAGGATTCAAAAAGCTATTCTAGGACCAGGTGCTAGGGCACATGCCTGTAATCCTGGCTATTCAGGAGGCTGAGGCAGGAGGATCATAAGGTGAAGAGCAGCCTCAGTGACTTAGTGAGACCRTGTCTCAAAATAAAAATTAGAACATAAAAGAACTGTGATAAAGTTCCCCTGGGTTCAATCWGCAGTACCAAAAAAATCAAAAGCTATTCTATTCCCAAATTACCTCTGTTCCTTACCTTTTTGTCACTTTGCATTAATTAGGTTTTGGCYTTCATTGTGGATGATTGAGGAATTCTGGTCTTTTAGGTAAATCTGAATTTAAACTATTATCCTTTTTATTCCATCAAGGTCTTGAGTCTGTTACCTGTGAGTGCATAGATAAGGTCTGTGAAAGAGGGAAAGCAGGGACTGAAGGTGTAGCTCAATGGTAGAACACTTGCCTAACATGCATAAGACTTGGGATGTGATCCTCAGCACTGCAAAAGGGAAAAAAAAAAAGTGGCATCTTCTTATTCAGTAAAAATGGAATGATTTGCTTGTCATATAAGGAGATGAATACCTTGTATGATATCATAAACTTTAAAGCTGCTTTCTTTTTTCAATCATTAAGCCAGAAAATTACAGGGTATTTGCCATTCCAGAGCACTGAGGTCCAAAAGCCAGTAGCTTCCAGATGGGAAAGACACAGGGAATATAGGAAAGGGGTCAGTTTGATGGATTGAATTGAGGAGTGGAGATTTGTAATGAAAGCAGAGGAACTTAACTGTTCTATTGACTATTAGTCATTAGATATACTGGGGGAAAAAAAGGATTCCATAGTCAGGTAATTTGGGGAAAAGCTGCACACTGTCCTGTATTAGGCAATCATAGTGCAYATTAGCATATTGAACATTCTGAGAAGTCCATCAGTAAAGATGCAGATTAAATTTGGTTAGCCCAGAATATTTTAATCTTATCTTAAACTGGAAATTCATTCTTAGAATACCTATTGACTTAGCATATTTACAGTCAGGTAATTTAAAATTTCAAGGAGAGTTGAAGGTAGAGCACTTGCCTAGCATGCCCAAGGCCCTGGCTTCCATCTCTAACACCACCAAAAAACAAACAAGGAATTATGCTTCTGTATATGCTAAAATAGATCTCTCTGAATAATCTTGGGAAGCTTCCTGCCTAACATTTTCAGACTATTTTTGTTGGAATCACATAATTTTGTTTACCTCACTTTGCCATTTTCTCAAAATTCTTAAAGAAAATAAGTTAATTTGGTTGTCAGAAGTTAATTGCAGTTGAAGCTGTTTACTTCATTAGGTATCTGTTTACTTACATTTTATTTTTCTAGTACTGAGRATTGAACCCAAGGGTGTTCTRCCACCGAGCTATATCCTCAGCCCTTTTTGAGACAGAGTACCACTAAGTTGTCAAGGCTATCCTCAAACTTGCAATCCTCCTACATCACCCTCCTGAGTAGATGGGATTACAAGCATGCACTAATGCACCTCACTTATTTTTTTGTGGTATTAGGGATCAAACCTGCAGCCTGGCACATGCTGGGCAAGCATTCTACCACTGAGCCCCTTTATTAGCTTTTCAATGGTTTTGTGCATGTAATGATTGCGAATGGAAATGGATAGAAGCACTTTTAGAGAAGCTGTTTACRCAGTATCCTCTCAGTTTGGATATACTGTACATGAGTGGATACTTGTACTAGAATATACCATGTAATTAGGACCAGGATGTCTTGTAAGAAAATAAATATATTATCTAAAACTAARTGAGGGCTTAATGTATTCATGTACTAAAGGGATAAACCTGTAAATCTTATAACAAAATTAAWTGGCCCTTAATATTTCATTAATGTCATGACACTAGAGGGAGCTCTATGCAGCTATTTCATTTGGAGAGTAGATGTGATTGGTCTTTTAAGGTTGTTTTTAGAAAAACCAAGGTAATTTTTTATTTTACTAGCAAGATAACATAAGGAGAACAAATAGAAAGACGTTTATGCAGTTTTTAAAATATAATAAGCTATTTACTTACCTTGCTAATAGRAAAAGTACCTACCTTACTTTTTCTTATATAAAAACAACTTTAGACGGATAGGTGGCACATGACTATAATCCCAAAAACTTGGAAAGTGGAAGCAAGACTATTACAAGTTCAAGACCAGCCTCAACAACTTTAAAAGATCCTCAGCAATGAATGAGAAATTGTTTCAAAAAAAAAAAAAAAAACAAAAACTGGAGATATAGCTTAGTGTTAAAGTGCCTCTGAGTTCTATCCCTAGTACAAAGTAAACACATACATACAACTTTGAATGCCAAGATTGATAGTGATATCACTATCACTTCTAATGATTTAGAAATAGTATAGGAGACATATCACTTCAGGATGTGAAAAAGTAAGTGAACCAAAATATCTTCAGAAACTCAATATCAAATGTGGAAAATCTCTGCTATATATTGGGTAAAATAAGTAGTTTTACTGGTGAATTGTTCCTTCCATATTGACAAATATTCTGGTCAATGAATAATTTATAGCCTTCCTCTTAAGATTAACTTTATAGTTTGCCTTTTATTCTGAATGCTGACCTCAAAGTAATAGTTACACCAGCTTCTTTCTTTATTGCCCAATTCTAGATTCTCAATACACCATCAGTGTTCTCTCTCCTTCTCCATGAGCTCCATTATGTACCTCTAGGTTCTCAGGAGCCTAAAGTAACCAGCTGTAGAGCAGAAGGAAAGGATAATTTGCCACTTACTTGCCACATGATCTTACATGATAGARAACCAAATTATTRGCTGGGCAAGGTGGTGCAGGCCTATGATCCCGGTTACTCAGGAAATTAAAGCAAGAGAATCACAAGTTCAAGGCCATCTTGGGCAATTTAGGATAGATCCTGTCTCAAAAGGAAAAGAGCTGGAGATATAGCTCAGTGGTAGAGCATTTGCCTGGTGTGTGGAAACCCTCAGTTCAATCCCTTACTACCCAAAACAAAACAAAGCACTGTGTCCAGTATTAATTCTCGGTGCTTTTTTCATGACATTTACAATCCTCACAATKACTCTCTGAAGCAAAAACTAGCAATACCATCATTTATAGGTGATAGTTACAGTCTTTGAAGAGATGAAGGTTTTGTTCAAGGCTTAACAGAGATAAACACAGGTATAAGGCCAGGTCCTTGCAATTGGTCACACATTGCTACAACTACCTAATCTTATGCTTCAGTTTCCTCATTTATAGGGTGCTTATAATGAGTACTTCACAAAGTTGTTATGAAGATGCAATGATATAATGTATTATGAATATTTGACACAGCAGATATTCATCAATAAGTGTTTGTTCCATTTTTCCCCATTCACCTGTATTACYTTGCAGAAAATACTGAAACCTATTCCCTCTATCTTTATAACTCCCTCAGAATTTAGTTCTTTTTRTACTCTACTTGAATGCTTTTGTTTTTAACACCCGTAACTCACTTAAAAAGAAGCTTCATGGGGCTGAGGTTWTGGCTCAAATAGTAGTGCACTTGTCTGGCATGCATGAGGCACTGGGTTCGATCCTCAGCACCACATAAAAATAAAATAAGGATATTGTGTCCACCTAAAAGCTAAAAAATAAATAAATATATATATAAGAAACTTCAGGGCTGGGGAAATAGCTCAGTTGGTAGAATGCTTGCCTTGCATGTACAAGGCCCTGGGTTTAATCCTCAGCACCACAAAAAAAAAGAAAAAAAAAAAAAAAAGAAGCTTTGTTTCTTGAGAATTCTTTGGTTAAGGTATGAGTAGTTCTCAACTGTTGTCTTATTAAAATAAGATAATGAGTACTTGGCACTTTGCCTATTGACTTTTTACCTCTGCTAAATGTGGTTGTTATAATCTATATTCCCCATGTGATTATTTATGATGAACATACTGGTTTTGTTTACTTTCATAATGATATTCAAATGACTGATTCTTTAAAATTGAGCACCAGAGGACTGGAAATAAGGCTAGGTGGTAGAGTACTTGCTTAGCATGTGTGAGGCCCTGAGTTTGAACTCCAGTCCTGGGGAAAAAAAAAAAAAATTGAGCACCAGAGATATGTGTTTGGTTACAGTACCAGTGTGATKTTTTAGGGTTGCTCACTGTGATCAGAAGTCACTTCTAATCTGACCGCATCCTCTTTATTTTCTCCAGCTAGCAATGGCAGGATCTCTTTGAGAAGTCAATTTTGCAGTGACAAAAGAATGTGAGCAGGATTTGTGCCTTTTATCAGAGGTTCTATATATTTTTGGGGAATTCTGAGAAAACTTCTCACTGTATATATTCTGGAATAATTGTAATACCTCCTAGATAGACAAATGGAATATAGCATGGTGGACTGAAGTAGTCCTGAATGAGTCTTCCTAAATCTAATCCCAATTCTCTAAGAAGCTTTCAAAAATAGGTATATCTATCTGGGCCTACCTTATTTGTAAAATGAAACAATTCAGTTAGTTAACC